AATCTGTTCATTCATTTTGTTCTGAAATAAATGCATTTTTGACCACAAAGAAACGGACCGAACTAAATCGTATTCCCAATATATATAAGATTATGAATCTTGAATTGATACTAATTTTTTTCTGTAGACAGAGCGAATTTCTCACATTTAGAAACATATCAAATGAACTTTTTTATTTGAAATTGATGAATAAATGTGACGTCATAGGAACCAATTTATTCTAGTTGATTGAGCCATTTGCTCGTATGAATTAAGGATATATTTACGTTTTAATTAAATATTCGTTGTTGTGACTGCACGAGTGGCAATATTTTCACGATAGCTTCGAATAAANTTTTTAATTGACACCTTAGCTAATAACTGATGAGCGAAATTTCGTTTTGAATTAGCTACGACGAAAGATTGCTTCAACGGAAGAATAGCAATAGCCGTTGTCGCCGAGTAATCAAGATTCCCTTTGAAAACCGTCCGATAATTTCAATTACTCTCAATTTTGACGTTGTAAAGAGGCAAACTAGCTTTGTGCACTAGTACATAACGCAGCTTGAATGACGTGTAATTTGTTTTTTGTAACAGCTACTTTCGATGTGCGTCACTGTGACGGCCGATGCAATTTACCATATCGACGATTTGGACGAATTAACAGAATGCGCTCTATTGTGCTCCGCCTTTTATCTTTCCGTGATACGCCTCATTGTCTATACGTTTCGTCGAAAGGACATGCTGTATGTAACTCAGATCATGCATAAGGATTGGGCTACGTCGTCTTACGAGGACAGGGTTGTCCTGAAGGAAAAATGCATTTTCGCGTTCCAACTTGCCAGGTGTTTCATAATTATGGTAGCCGGAGTAATAGTCATATTTTCGTGCTTGCCGATTTTAGAGGTATGTGCAAAGATACAAATCTTTTATTATATTTAACACACGTGTCCTGTTCATATGTCCCAAAAAAGCCCACTCAAATTTTTATGTTGATTTAACGCAAAATGTGCTAAGATATGGCACAAATAGTATGTCAAAATTAACATAAAAAATGCAACACAACATTTTGACACTATTTGTAAACAAATTTTATGTAAAAGTAATATATTTATAATGTTAAATGTAATTAAAATAAAATGTAATTTTTACATTTTTTTTCAATTACACGAATATATGTGTGGTATTAATATCCTGCATGCCACGATATGGCAGCTCTGATGCTAAGTTAAACACATATATTGTTGTTGTCTGCAGGAGACATAATTTTTATTATTTTATAAACAAAACATCAGTCTTTTTTACTATTCGTGCACTTCATTTTGCAATCCTGCCTTACATTTCACATTTTGTGCATTTGAGCACGAACTGATGCAGTAGTGTTACTTTTGACGGCAGTCAGAGAATAAAAGACATCTCTATGTGATATTTAGTACAAAACGTATTGATTTAACAGATAGCAACTATATGCTTTTTATTGAGAAAAAATAACTCTAAAATTACATAAATTTTTATGTTAAACGTATATTTACATATAAACGTATATTTCCATATAAATTGTGTTATTTCAACACAAAGGAATGTTGAATATCAATTCAACACAAAATTTTTAAATAATACAATCACACTATATTACATCAACATACGGTTATGTTGAGGTTTTAACATAAAACTTTTAACAAGAACCGATTTAAATATAAGAACAAAATGTTTCTTACTGTGTATGTCACAAGTAGTTCGTGACCTCTCTTCGTATCGTTTGGGTATTGAAATGTTCGAAACTGGAGTATTTTTTGTAAATTCGTTGAAGCTGAGTGAATAAAAAATCAAAAGGAAAAGAAAAACAAAAGAAAACGAAAGACAAGATAGAAATAATAAATAAATGGGAAATTTTTATACATAGCAGAAACGAAAGAATAAACCGTAAAACATCACACGTCTTTGTAATTATTTTTTCTCGCGTTTTACGAAGCAGCGATAGATCGGCATGTGCAAAGTGGGCGATATGGCAACGCAATGCACATACGTTTTACGCTGACATTTATAGCTTTACAAATTCCATTTTTTTCCAGAAACGGTACCTTACTATTATTAATTAACCGTTTCCTGTACCTTAATCGGAGAAAATAATTCTGAAAGCGTTTATTACCGCTTCGCAAATTTTGCGGTAGATTTTTTTTACGCGGCGAATCGTTTTCCGATGGTTATTTCGCTTTATGAGTCTTTCGAAAACACTTGCACGCACACATGTACGCGCGAGACATTAATCCTTTAACCGTATTTATTTCTCCGATACGCGGGGAATTTAATTGTTAATAAATCAGTGACGGGAGATTTATTGAATTAAGAATGGATACCGTGCAATTAACAATAATATTAATTCCAAATAATATAATTAAATAGCATAACAGGAATGACCAATAAATAAAAATTTCTATAATCTCGGTCAATTATTTCCGCTTGCGATCTCCCATTCTTTGATCAAATTGAAATATCAATTCATCCGCATAAAGGACGAAACGCGATGTTTAATCGCAGTGAATGATAATTAATTATCGAGCTGACTGGTTTGTCTTAAAAAACTCGGAACTTTTTCGAAATCTTGCTTGCGAAAAGTAGAGTGCACCGAGAAAAAAATTTCTTCAAATTTAATAAATCTTATTGCATCCGAACAAATTTCATCATTAGCGTATTCCAAAGAAACTGTTTCGATTGATAAGTACAATTGTTAGACTTTTCAACCAATATATACCTTTATCTTAAATAAAAAATTTGTTCGAAACAGAAAAACGATAATTTTAAAGAAAGAAATAAAGAAATGATTTGTTTTATTTTACATACTTATTGTAACGAAATCATATTTTATTTCGTTAAAAGATATTATTTCAAATAATAACGTTCTTTCTGTTAAATAATGGAGTTTTCTTGAACGAGACAATAAAATTTTTACTCAAACAAATGATATTTCGTATATGTTGTTTCTGTGAAACAAATTTTAGTCAAATTAAATAGAAGTATTAAATCTAAAAAAATCCTTTTATCTGTGACAGCCGAGTTCTCGGATGTGACTTTCATGTGACTTTTAATTCATATAAAGCGAATTCTACCGCTCAGAATGATCGAACAAATATTTTCACTCGGAATTGAAAAGTGATGCAACATACTTTATCATTGCAGGATCAAATTTACTTATATGGATTAAGAATCTTTCTCTCGTCCTAAACTCGAGTTAAATATTTATCCTCGTGATCCCGAATAACGGGATTATTTTCACCTTTGCTCCGTGTGAATTTTCACTCGTTTCTCAGCGAGATCTCACTTCGAGAAATTTAGATAGAACCGAAACATCTGTCTGATCAGGTTTATCTTCTGGGGGCGGAGGAGAAGGTTCTGCCGTTTCGCGGCTACTTCTTCATTAACCAGACGGTCTCGCCCATCTACCAGTGTCTCTACGTCTTCAACGTGATGGCCGGTGGCTTCGCGGGTGGCACGATAACCAGCGCGACGGGCTTCAATCTGATCGCGATAACGCACGGATCGGCAAAATTCTCGACGCTGCGAAGGAAACTCGAGATGATGAGTTGCGATGATCCCGACATCAAACAAATTATGGCTGACTGTGTCAAGCGTCATCAGGATGCTATCGCGTAGGTGTCGATATCGCGTCACGATTAGGCGCCTTTCTGAATTTCATCGAGTGAACGTTTACTCAAAAAAAGCAACCGACAACCGGGCCAACTCAAACTTGAGTGACTTCTTTACACATACATATACGGAGAAAAATATTTTGCTGGCATAGCAAATTGTTAGTTATTATATATGGATTATTATATAGCAAAAAATTAGTTTGGACAGCAAAAAGATTTGTTAAGAGTATTAATTACTATTTGCTGAATACATAGATAGCAAAATAATTTGGTTACGTCAATTAAATTTTATTGCTGTCACGACAACGATTTTGCTGTAACAGCAACATTATTTTTTTTGTGTAACGAATCCTTTTGTTGTCCTTATAGTGACTAACAGTTTGCTGTGCCAGAAAAATTATTTACTGTGTATACACTGAAATAAATAATTGTTATACTCAAGTAAATGTTTGTTGAGGAGTATTTATATTACTCGGATTAAGTAAATATTACTTGAATGTAGCACTTTTTTTTGTCAGTTTGCTGCATTCAAATAATATTTACTCAATCCATATAAAATAATTACTCCAATATTTCTTATTAAATAGGAAAACCTGGGGATACTTGATCCCCCCTTTTGATTTTCTTGATTACTTCAGATGAAAGGAAAATCAAGCGATTTTTATGCTATCCCAATCGGAAATAAAGTTTTCGGCGAGCTTTCAGCAAGCGTATGTTTAAGTGTCCGGTAAATTATGTGGAAAAGTATTTTAAGCCTAACATAAACGACCGCGCAGCTTGCTAGAAATTTATTGTGACTAACTTGGAGTGTTTGGAAGAAGCAGACATAAATTTTCGCGGAGTTTTCTGCGAGCAGTCAGTATGCATGCACAAAGAAAAAAAATTATTGGCGGCCGAGTCATCTACCTATTTATCTCCGAACCGCGTTCAATGCTGCTTAACTTCAGTGATCGGATGGCAAGCAGTGAGTCTAACGGCTTTGACGATATCTTTGCGACTTTCGCTTTGTTACGTCCTGGGTGTCTCGGAAACTATGAATTTCTTTTTTTTAATTATATGATTGGGAAACAGACGAACTTCGAGCAAGCGCTACTGTAACAAAGATAAGATTACATTGGCAGCCGCTAAACGTGCCGTAAACGCATGGTTCCCAATGCGTTTATGATTCATTCCGCCTTCATGTAAGGTATGTAGTTTATTTACATCCTGGGTACCCCGGGGACGATAGATTCATTTTTTTATATAACTAAGATATCTTGTCGCCTCTACGTTAGGAACGTATGTGTCCATACTGGATACCTAGATAGCAACGAATTCCTTCTCTTATGATTATAAAACAAACAGATTTGATCAAGCGGTTTATGAAAAGATACGAGTACACGCCGTCCACATATGTCATAAGGCTCCCGATGGGGCTGCGATCTATCCACCCTTGTATACAGTCGGTAGAACAAGGGTTCTCCTATGCGATTAGGCTTTTAAAATTGTTTATATTAATACTAGGAATTTTCCAGAGTAACCGTCTTCCACGCAACCTCCTCTCATTGATGGACGTCGTCCACTATCCCCTGAAATCCTTCCTATATAAGCCTTACCCTTTTTACCGCGAGGGCAGTTACAATAGTAGTTCTTTTGCAGTCAGTGACAGTCACAGTCGCAGTTACAATATTGGTTTTTCTTGCAGTCAGTCAGTCAGTCAGTCAGTGACAGTCACAGTCACAGTTACAATTACAGTTCAGTCTAGTTTAGTTCAGTCCAGACCAGTTCAAGTTCAGTATAGTACAGTCCAGTTCAGTTCAAGTTATAGTTACAATTAGTTACAGTCGCAGTCACAGTTGCAGTTCTTAGTGTCAGTTCTTAGTTAGTCAGTCTTAGTTCAGTCTTCAGCAGTCCACAACCATAGTCTAATCCAGCCTTCGTCTTCGTCTTCATTCGTCCTCGTCAGTCTATTGATTCATCTAAATCGTAAGTCTCCATTTCATATTTAAACATGACTTTTAATCATTTCAATCCAATTTCCAATCCAACTTCATCTCTCAAAACACATACCTGCACTGCGTGATTATTGTTTTCTTTGTATTATATAACGATGTTTTCTTTGCTATACCGATATGTTAAACATTCTTGTTGCGTTATATCCGATTGTATTAAATTAAGTTACACGAATTACCTTTTGCTTAATCTCGCTTTAATCTTCATCTTGTATTTGCGTTATTCCAGTAATGCTGATTTATAAAAATTTGTTTAATGTTAACCCACATATTTCATTGTTTAACTTTAGCTAACCCTTTCATCTTTTAAATGTTGTACCTTTTACAATGACTTTTCTTATCAATTTACCACTATTATTAATCCATCCGAGAACCAAATTATATTGTTAATAAACTATTTTATTCAAAATGCCCTAAATTGAATCAAGTCGTTAAAACTATTTATTCATCTCCTTTCAATTACCTAAATATAAATTCCCCTCTCAACACACTCATATGGTCCTATCCCAGGTAAAGATATTAAATTCTTTGACTTAAATAAAGGACCACCTAACGTACGTTCTGTGATCGGAGTAAATGGGCCTCTCCGGACCTTGACCTGATCTGCAGACCTACCAGTACGTTTAGGACTCGCCAGTGCGCGAGTAAACAATTTTGTTGCGTTCGTCCTCTTCCAGGACGTAACAGCTTATATAATATATTTTTACGGTACGAGAACAAAAATTTTAATTTGAGCATTCACGAAGCAAACAATTACATGTCAAGATAAACTGATTAAATCTGAAATTGAATGAATATTTATTGAACTAATTGTTAATTCGATATATCGCTTCTGATAAACAGTGTTCTCGTGTAAGTGTAGTGATTTGTTTATGCGATTTGTTTATGACGTTTTGTGCGTAATAATTAGTGCGATCATCATCGTTCGCTCATTCTCGATTCTCTTTTTTCAGTTTCGCGGATGTGCTGGAGAGGCTCATAAACGTCCTGGCATTAGGACAGTTTGTCATCAGCACCGGTCTGGTGTGCTTCGCGGGATTTCAAATCACTTCAGTGAGTTTAAACGCTGAAGGATTGTTTATTAAAATAGTCATATATTAATGCAAGATGTTTCTCTAGATGTTGAGGAACAAAGGACGTTTGATGAAGTATTCGGCTTTCCTAAATGCCGCTATCCTCGAGATTTTCATGTTCAGTTTCAGCGGGAATGATTTAATAATTGAGGCGAGTATTCTTTCCGATTACTTTTAGTCGCACAAAATTAAAATCTGCAAAACTTGGCCGCTTGTATGTTGATGTCTCACACTCGGAATAACATGAACCGTTCTGCCTGCAATTAATTAGACCTTTTTCAACTTGTCAAGAATTTTCTTATTTTTTATTTCTCTCGTTTTATACAAGCGGAAATCGTTGCGTAATCAAATTAGCACGACAGCATGGGAGATTCGTTCTAAAAGATTCTATGCTACAAATATTCCACAAATACATCATAAATATTTCATAAACATGTAAATTTTGTTGCATGAAACTTGCAAAAATTTACAAATTTATGAAATATATAAAATAAAATCCATACATTTTATATACATGTAAATTTGATAGAAAAAAATTTACATATTTCATAGAATCGGGTGTATCGTTTTGTTATCATATACGATTTGTCGTTTTGCTATTATATACAAATTTGGCAGGATCTACTTCCACAGATTATCATAGTTTATTTTATAACTTATTTACAATACATTTTTCTACAACACACACACACACACACACACACACACACATGCATATACATATTTTTGGCACACCGAGACAAATATTGAGCGCAGAGAGCGTAAACAAGCACTAATAGATTTAATACACGCACGCATTTAATGCGTCGCTATTAGCGACGCACGGATTTTCATTGCTACGCAGCCTATTGATCTCGTAATCGCTTTTAATTAATTTACGGTAAACGCCTGTAACGGACATTAGAGTGATGCCGTGGGCGAGTCGGCTTACAGTAGCGGCTGGATCGGCGGTACATTTTGCCAAAGTCTGCAAATCATGATGTTACGGTCGGCCGTTCCTTCCAGGATCACCGCCGCCAAATTCTACAGCATGTCCCTTGAAAGCTTTGCCCAAGTAAGAGGGTTTTTATTTATTATAGCACCGTATGGTAATTAAGATAGTATTTGAAATGGTATTGCGTTATTTAAAACTGAATTGTGTGGAGAAAAAGCACTAAAACCGATGCATCATTTTGTTTTTGGGCTCTAAAGCCTTATTGAAGGTGAAAAATTAAAATTTATGTGCATGAAACGAGTAACAAGTCTACTAAAATATGTAATAGTCTTATGAAAATGATTACATACCTTGTAAATAATTATTTTTAAGATGTTTGAGGATTGAAGCTTCTATAAAATAAACTTTAAAACTGACATATCTATAATATACATTGCGACCGGAATTCGTGACTCGGCTTCTCCGAGTCACCGGTGCAAAACCGACGGGCGAATCCCGGGACGCGAAACGGTATCCGGGCCTCCTCTGGTCCGTATGGGCGCCAGGTGCGCGTAAGTCGTACCCACTAACCAATGGCCTCCGCGGTCGGCGACGCTGTCCGCGCGTCGGCCCCGCGACCCGAGTTCGTCCCGATCGGGACTGGCAGCTCCGGGGTGAGTTAAGTCGGAGGCCGGGGTGGTTCGGATGGTCACGTCGGGAATCGCCGACAACCGGGAAAGGAACGAGATCACGAAAAAGAAAAAAAAACAGAGGCTTCGGTAGATCCGCACACCTTTATTTGGCCTTCTCGGTAACTGGACGATACACGGCGCTTTGGCGTAGCGCCTTCCGATATACAATTTAACTCGTTCTTTTCTTTTTTTTTGAACCGCGGCGGATCCACGGTGTCCGCTAATAGTAGCCGGCCTCTCGAACGGCCGCCGAGCCGAGCCAAGGGGGGAGGGACTTCGCACGCTGCAACCGCGGGGCAATTTTCCCCGCGGCGCTCTACGACAACACAAAAAGAAAAGAATGAATGCGGTGAGGCGGCCTTACAATAACGGGCTCCCGGGCGGCTGGCTCTCGAAGATCCTCGTCCCGTCGCTCTCTCTCTCTCTCTCTCTCTCTCTCTCTCTCGCTGCGTCCGCTCTCGCCTCCGCTCTCGCTCGTGCTCGTTCTCGCCTCCGCTCTTGCTCGTGCTCGCTCTCCCTCGCTTTTCCGCTCTCTCTCGTTCTACTCTGCTCTCTCTCCCAAAACGGCCGGGGAAAACTCCTGCGAAAACTCTGCACGAAAGCCGGAAAATCGTCTGCGAGCCACGAGAACAAATCTGTCTCCACCGGGGAGGCTGCCGATGTTAAGCAGCCTTCTTTTTCCTTTGTTGTTCCGAAATCCCCTCTTCGGCAGCCGGATTTTTGCCGGCGGTTACCGAGTTGTCTCTTAGCCCGCCGTTTCACCCCCGGCCTATCCCGGCGCGGTACCACGGCTCCTGGCTCCTTGTCCTTGAGCGCGACCTCGGCCTGCCGGCCTTACTGCCGCCGAGGGGTCGGAACGATAGCCACGGCGGTGCCGCTAGCGGCTCCTCGACAGTCGTCAAGAGATCAGAGAGGAGCGAGTCCACGGAGTCCGGCGGGAATTTCGGTGGGCCCATGTTCCTCCACTCGGCGGTTGACGCTTTGTTTCCTTCCCGCTGCNGGGGGGGGGGGGGGAGAGGGGCTCGCCTTTACTGCTCCCGCGCGCCCGTGGCGCGCGGTCTCCGCTGTTTCGCAAATACTAAAAACAAAAAAAACAAACCGGTGGTCTCGATTCGGTGCTCTCGGAAGCGCACCACCCGCAATAGGACCTTCGGAGGGTCTTCGTCCTTGTGACTTGCGCTCTGAGCTGCTACGTCACAACATATAGGAAATTATCAAAACAATAAAAAAAATCAATGCAATCACAATACATATATTTTAAAACATTAAAAACTTTAGGATGTATTGCTTCTTTATTATATGGAAAAGGATCCCCTGATTTTTTCTTTCCCACCATTTTATATGAGCAAACAAGAAAAACCGGGGACAATCGGTTACTAATAGCTTCAACTGTGTGCTGTGAAATAATATTTCATAGCAAAGTTCAGGTATGTTGGTCGAAAGACCAATAAACTTAGGTATCTTGGTTTACAGAGAGCGGGAGGCTGGGGTAGCGTAATCGCGGAATGTGTTTTGTTCTTCGCAGGTGCTCAGCACGTCCTTCTCCTACATGATGGTTTTGATGGCAACGAGCCACGAGTAGGGATCAGCGTGCGGCATTGGCGATTTCGGTGCGGACTCCATCTCACAGAGAATACACTAGCCGAAGCCCGTCAGCCCAAAAATACACGCGCGGATCAAAAAGGACCTATGTGAAAGTCGCGGCGCGCTTTCAGAATTCGCATGAAAGGCGGATGAAGAAGAAGCGCCCGAAGCTGCAAGAGCTGTGGCGGCGGGACGAAGAGCGTACGACACGGTGATGGGCGAAATGGAATATACATCCCCCCCCCCATAACGGCCCGCAAAAAGCCCCTCTTTCTACTTCTTTTTCCTCCTCTCACTCTCTCACTCGGGAAAAAATGATTATATATAATTATATATAATTTTATAAAATCATATATGAATTTTGCCCATATATATGGTTACATATGTGATCATATATGTTGGTACAAAACAATTATGTTATATCATTTAATTAAATGTCGATGTCATGTGCTGTCAGAAGCACAAGTAGCATCAGAAGCATTTATTTCGATTGTATCTGCATATAATTTGTAAACAACAGTATTTTTTCATTGTGGACATATATGATTATATATAGTCATATATGATCTTTTTTCCCTCGGGTCTTTTTTAGCTGTACGTGTTTCGTTAAATATGAGACGTTACCCAGTGCTTTTGGGCAAACACAGACACAGCAAATTGCCTTCTGATTAATCCCCCAGCCGATAGAACCATATTAAACCGTGACGGTGCATCGCCGACACATCAAGATACACCGACGACCTCGGTATCCTCGTTACACAATACGGTAGCGTAATCGGCAATAGCAACGATTTGTCTTTGCCCGTTCTGCAGAGTTCGGTCTATTAAATTACAGGCTGATTCGTAAGTTGCAACGTGACCTCACGCGGCGTGTCCGGCTTGGTTAAGTCCGGAAGTTACGATATTGTATGTATATCGCGATTTCGAATTCGATCGAGATAGATCGCGCCCAGTTCGAGCCTCACTACCGTTTGGTATCGATGAACAGAGCCTTCGTTGGATTTTCAGAGCGTCCCCAAGATCTCGATTTTCGATTTTAGGCTTCTCGAAATTTTTGGATTCTTGAAAACGAGAAATACGTGTGGGAGAGAATTCTTGGCGATATTCGGAATTTAGGATGTTTATTTATTTTATTTATTTTTATTCCTTGGTTGATAAAGTCTTGACGTTTTACACTTTTAGAAAATTATATTATTCTTCCGATTCATAGATCTCCTTTTATTCATTATATTTTTACATATTTACGATCTAGTACTTCTTTAGACGTTCTTAGGACATTAAAGTCTCGAATCTTCATGCTAAACTTCTAGCCTTGCGACACCCGAAATTCTCAAATCTTGGAACTCATTAATTTGCAAACGTCTAATACCACAAATCTCTATGTCTTCCTCAAACAATTCCCTCGATTCTTCACTCGACACATTTTCAGACCCTGGTAATCCAGACCTTGTTTGTACTCAACTCGACTCAATCGATTTCCCGATATCCTCGAACATTCGGTACCATTGTTCGGTGTCAGTGAACTTCCTTCCAGCCCTTCGAGTGTCAGTTCTAACGTGACCTCGTCGTAGCGAACAGCTCGAGGAAAACGTTTCTTCCGAGACTTTATGGTGCCATGCGAGAGCGGCTTCTTATGGAACGCTTTGTACACACAACTCACCGGCGTCTCTCGCAATGCTCCCTTTTCCTGGGCTGATATCGTCGGGGTCAAAGAATCAGGTAACGTTCGGACGAAATGGCACGGTGAGTTTCTTCGAAGTTCTCGCTTGCTCGCTCGTTTGCTCCTGGTGGGGTAAACCGCGAGCGGGACTCTTGGGAGTGACTCGAGGATATTTTCATCGCGGCAGTGCAACACGTGCACCCGGTGCAGCCAGTGCATGCATCCGCCTCGACTACTCGCCGGCAGCTCGCGCTACGGGACCCGTCGCCGCAGCTCCAGCTAGCCTCCCGAAAGATGCGAGTTGCGAGAGGACTCGGTGATCACTCGGTTGTGTCCGCCTCGTTGTTCGGTTGATTTCCTCGGGACCAAGCACAGGCGTTCCTTGGCGGAGAGAGCACTGCTGATGGGATGCGGGAGGCCGGATGACGCCGCTCGTCCGCGAGACGACAATATGGCGAACATCAAGGTGGCCGCATGAGACTGATATCTGCTAGGTGAGTGCGCGACGTTCTTTCCGCTTGGAATGAGATACGTTGTCATCTTCCGATTCGGATGGAGCATTGAATAATATCACGCATTGACATTCGCGACACCGTACTTTGATGGAAATGTTATACCACAAATTTTATTGAAATTCCCTTTCAAATGACCTTACTTCACTAGCGTCCCGCCAATGTATACCTTTTCAGTTAAATTCAGTAAATTTCAACAGTACACCTTAACTTTCCATATATTCGAGTACTGCTATATTATGAATTTGATAAACAGTGAGACAAAAGTTATTGTAGAAACTACTATAGAATATATAATAATAAATATTACAAAATAAATCATAATGTTCACCATAAAATTCAATGTAATGCTGTGAAAATTAAAGTATAACTCTGAGAAGAATAAAAAAATTTTTGAAATATTACAAGGGTGGTCCCAGAAGTACCCGACCCAACAAAGAAAACACAAAAATTTTGGAAAAAAATGTATTTATTTTTGAACATAATCTCCTTTCAGCTCTATACACTTTTCCCATCGATGTTCAATACATTCGATACCCTTTTTATAATAAGAACTCTCTTGCTCCTCAAAATAGCCATTAACTCCCAACATCACTTCTTCATCGTTGGAAAATCTTTGACATTGAGGTATTTCACTGAGAGCAGCATCACTGAGCCATTTTTTCAAGTTTGGGAACAAAAAATAATCCAAGGGGGCTAAATCTGGCGAATAAGATTCACCAGACACTCAATTGAAACATCTTCACGACACTGTTTTTGCTCGAGTGTGAGCAAACGTGGCACCCATCTTGCACACAGCTTTCTCATGTTCAAATTTTCAGATAATATGCGATGTACCGCACTGTTTGAAATACCTACTATGTCTGCTAGCTCGCGCACTTTTAGTCGACGATCATCCAGTACCGCTTTGTGGATTTTCTTCACCATTTCTGGAGTCGTCATCTCATTTGGTCGACCACTGCGATCCTAGTCTTGGCAGCTCGTACGGCCTCGTTTAAACTCTGCTACCCAATATTTTACTGTTGTAAACGAAGGAGCAGACTCACCCAGAGTAGAATCCAGTTCAGCTTTTATTTGGTTGGGCTGAGGCCTTTCAAATAAAAGTATTGTATCACATAACGATGACCAATTTTCTCCATTTTCACAAATTCACTGAAAACGTTCACTATTGATGGCTGCCAAACAAACACTAACATACTAAACAACGTGGCGTCTTCAAACTTGAAACATATGCTTTATAGATTGTGTACTTTCTAATACAGTGATATTTTTCAAACAACTACCGCCATCTCTAGATTAGGTCGGGTACTTCAGGGACCAACCTCGTATGTGTCATGAAATTTACTGAATTAAACTGAAAACTGTCTATATTAGTGAAATGAGGTCAATTGAGAGAGTATTTTAGCAAAATATTTCCATCAGGGTCTGGTTGCCATAACTGCTAGACGTTGGTACAAACGTCGTTGGACGTTGGTGTTTGATATTTGAGACTATAATTTTGCACAGTTATGACCCGTACCTCGCCGGTCGGTGGACATTCGCTCTACCTCGGCCGGTGGGGTGGTCGTCCGGTGTCACGGATGACCGTGTTCGATAGCCGGTGGTCCCAGAGTAGCTCGCCGTGTACCCAGGCGTTCTTAGTGATGCGTGCGTGGGTGAGTGAGTGAGTGAGTGAGCGAGCAAGTGTAATTGAATAGCCGTTTATTCGATTATTTCCCACAATGTACAGATCGAATAGCAGCGGGCCGTGCTTTAACTCTATCTTTGCGGTAAACATTGCGGCGATAGATCTAGCGACAGAATCCCGTGTTTACGTCGAGACGTATCGACGGCTTAGTCGGTGTTCTTCGGCGGAACGAGTTTCGCGGAATCTAACTGTCGCAGACGCTTGGTGACGCTTGCGGTGTTAGCGGAAAGCGGGTGTTATGATTCCGGCGCGTTGTGTTGACGGTTCGCGTGTCGGCCTGGCGTTTAAATATCTCGGTTCGCATCAAAGTGCATACGGCGGAATGCACCTGCGGATCGCACGGTTTTGCGGTACGCGGTGGTCGCTGCACACGGAGTGCTCACGTCGGCCGAATGCTGGAACGGAGGGCACACGGGATCGTGCTCCTCTACACGAAGCGGTGGATTCGGTCAATATATCGCGGTTCGCGGCGGTTATGGTTTCGATGGTACCTCCGGTAAGGTGGGGACGGAGAGACGCGCGTCGTCTCTCAGTTTCGCGGCGCGGAACGCAGAACGATGCTTCGGGGCGTACGCAGGCCCCGGAGGCGCAAGGCCCGATGACGAGAGTGGGGTGGCCGAAATCGAGAACACTCCACAGAGGCGGCGAACACACCACCCGGGCTCGTTCCGATCTCCAAGTCTATCACAGGTGAGAGGGCCCGGAGTTCCCGGTGGAGACGGCGAACACACCGTCCCGAGATGGAAGTTAGGAGTCCGGTGCCCGCGACTTCCACGAGTAAGACAGCGTACGCACTACCTCGGTCTTACCGGACGGAAGGATGTCGAGTCGGCTGCGTATTCATAGCGGAGACGGCGTACGCACCGTCGCAATCCCTCGACCTGGAGATCGGGATCCAGAGTACCTTGTGATTTTGCGATCCGGCTGACTCCGGTGGAATCGATTCCGTTCTCGCGGCGGAGCAGTCTTTTATACCGATTCGCTGCCGTTTTTCCGACACGTGTGCGTTTGACAACAATTGTTGTTGCCAACGCGTACACGTGTCGGACGTGTGCGCCGCGCGTGAGAATCATTTATTTGGCGCTGAGCACTGTTTTGCGGCCGATGGATGATCGGTCGGCAGTGGCGTTCGTNATTTATTTGGCGCTGAGCACTGTTTTGCGGCCGATGGATGATCGGTCGGCCGCGGCGTTCGCCCGGGGGGGATACATCGTCACACAGTGAAATAATTATATATAGTTATATGCGAGGGTGGATCAAATATAAACAAGACTTTTTAAATTGCGTGCCCGTTGGCGGCGTGAGGGGTCTGCAACGTTTTGGACAGTGGAGGGGGGTCATGTAGAAGGCTGTAATAACGTTGGCGCGCCACGTGCTTCTTACTCTCAGCAGCAATCAC